CTGCCTGGATGATGTATCCACTGATGCAAGTGAGATTAGTTAAAGTCCCCTACTATTATTATATTACCATCAATTTCTCTCTTTATGTCCATTAATATTTGCTTTACGTATTTAGATGCTCTAGTGTTGGGTGCATACATATTTGCCGTTGTTCTATCTTCCTGTATTAATCTCTTTATCATTATGTAATGTCCTTCTTTATCTCTTGTGATAGTCTTCATGCTAAAGTCTATTTTATCTGATATTAGTATCGCTACCCTGGCTTCTTTTTTCACTCCCATTTGCGTGGTAAATATTTTTCTGTCCCCTCACTTTCAGTCTATATGTGTCTTTAGGTCTGAGATGAGTCTCTTATAGGCAGCATTTAGATGGGTTTTGTATTTTTTTTAACCCATCCCACCACTCTGTGTCTTTTGATTAGAGCATTTAGGCCATTTACATTTAAAATAATCATTGATAGGTATGTATTTATTGACATTTTGTTGATTGTTTTCTTGTTCTTCTCTGTTCCTTTCTTACTCTTTTGCTCTCTTTCTTTGTGATTGATGAGTTTCTGTGGTGTTCTGTTTGGCTTTCTTTCTCTTTATTTTTTGTGTATCAATTATAGGTTTTGGGTTTGTGGTTACTGTGAAGTTCATATACAGTATCCCTGGTGTATAAAAGCCTATATTAAGTATGTCAGTTAACATTCAACAGTATAGTTAAGCAGTGAGTAGCCTCACTTAGGTTGATGTACAAACACTTTGTGTCTCTGAGGGAAGACCCATCAATTAATATTTCAGCTTTCCCAGGATGCTCCAGAGTGGAATAGGAGCAAATCCCATGGTTTGTTATCAATACCATTGGGCCTGGAACAACCCCGAGCTTTGAAACCTGCGTAGCGAGATACTAGAAGTAGCTAATCACCTTTCAATTCCTCTTGGCCCCGGATTTTCCCATAAATTAAGTATGAGAGTTGATTAATTTGAGGCTGGGGTGGGGCGAGTTGGAACAAAGGGGATGACCTATTAACTTAAAGCTTTAAGTTTTCAAGGGAGGAAGCCAAACTAAGTAGAATTTACATGTTGATTGTGTGTATATAAACCATTAATTCCACAGAATTTACAGCCTGGTTGCTTTTCTGCAGGAAGTTGTACTTCTCTCCTCTGAGACTAATTGAACTGTTCCTATATGAAAACAGAATTTCCCTTCTCCCACTAAAACGTTCTCAAACTTTTTGCTGACTTTAAACTACCTCTTCCCCCTGGGACTGGTCAGACTAGGATGTTCTTTGGTTTCCGTCAGAGAATCTGGCTGTGCCCTTTTTAAAAAAAAATTTTTTTTTAACGTTTATTTATTTTTGAGACAGAGAGAGACAGAGCATGAACGGGGGAGGGGCAGAGAGAGAGGGAGACACAGAATCCGAAGCAGGCCCCAGGCTCTGAGCTGTCAGCACAGAGCCCGACGCGGGGCTTGAACTCACAGACCACGAGATCATGACCTGAGCCGAAGTCGGACGCTTAACCAACTGAGCCACCCAGGCGCCCCTAGCTGGGCCCTTTTTGAGTGTACAGATAGTTTGGTGAAAAATAACACGATGATAATAAAAATAAATCGCTAAGCTTCGCTGGGCATTTACCATGTGAGCTCAGTGCTTTATTTACCTTTTCTAATTTAATTCTCGCAACCACCGAGTGAGGTAAGTACAATGGTCTCCGGTTTATAAGTAGCCACGGGCAGTCTGAGGCTTGGTTTGATGAAGAGACGTACCCAGGCCGCAGAGGGTTGGAAAGAGAAGTGGTTAGCTTCCGTGGTGGAGCTGGTTAGTCAAGCTGGGCTACCGTCTGACTCCATGACCCATGCTTTCTGTCTCCCTGTAACTTCTTTTTCCTCAAGAAGACATCTTGAAAACTCCCCAGGACAACTCACAAGCAGCCCCTCGATGAAGAATCACGGAGGAATAGCTTGGGGCTCCTTGAGCAAAGGGACGTGACCGTGCTGGTCGCCTCTTGAGTTCCGGCAGCCCGAGATCTCGCTCGGCTCCTCCGAGCGCCCGTTGATGCGTGCCCCAGGCCTCAGAGGAGTGTGACAATAATTCCTTGTTCAAGTCCAGTGCTCTGGGACTCAGCAGCACCTCCCAACCTGAGGATTTTGTAATCTGGAGTCTATTCCCGGAGCCTGGTCTGAGGAAAATGCTGAGGGCCCTGAGGAAAAAGGGTCTGTGTTTGGGCCTGTGGGCCTGGCTGGGGGCTGGAAGGCAGCGTCCCCATGCCGGTAGCATGCTGGTAGGGATACAATGGGCGCACTCAGTGGGCGTGTGGCCCTGGGGACCGCTTCAGCCCAGAGGTCAGATTATATCCCCTGAAACAAAGCGTTGGGTTTAGCCTCCTACTCATGCATTTCGTTCGCTCCTCAGTAGCTCTGGCTGGGACTCTGCATGCCCAGAAGGAGGGGGCTTTTATCCAGCCATTCTCCACGGCCTGGGCCTGCGTGACCACAGCATCCAGCCCCGGCAGGCAGCACTTGGCCAGAGGCACGACTTCCAGTGTTGGACTTTGGCGACAGAGTCCTCGCAGAGAGGGAGGCCGGCCACGGCCAGGGGAACCGTGGGGCCTTGGAGTGAGTCAGTGTGGCCGCCCAGCCCTGAGGACTGGTTTCTCCACAGGTGATTATTGGCCAGGGAGGAGAAAGCAGCCAGCCAGGCTCCATTAAAATGCTGCCACGGGCAAGGAATCATCTAGGAACTGTCCCCTGCAGGGCTGACAGAGTCTGGAGGGGTAAACTCCCAAGTCTCCAGCAGGGTTTCCCACCCAAGCCTCTGGAGGTTACTAAGGGAGCTCTGGCCCCAGAGGAGGCCGGCTTTCCAGGTGTTTCTGACACAGCTGAGAGCAATCATCGCTGCAGCCACCTTGTATCCAGCCATCTCCCGTGCCAGGACTGGACTCACACTGTCTGTTTTCTTTGCCAGAGCCCTCCAGGCTTGGCGACGTTATCCCCATTTCATAAATGGGGCTCAAAGAGCTAAGTCACGTGCCTCATTTGTAACTGGCCAGACCCGGATGCAAACCCAGGAATGGGTTTCTCCTATTCCATCCTTAGCTTTCTCAGAGGGTAGCACCGACTCGACCCAAGATATTGATCGGGGGGTTGAGCATCTAGGGCAGCAACCGCAGCCATGGAGTTTATGGATAGCTCCACGAGATGAAATGGGAGTGGAAAATGGCACTGGAGTACAGGCACTGAGTGTAGTTTCTCTACGTGGGCAGTCAAGGTGAGCGCCTCATTGATACACAGTCATCATACTGGTACGTCCTCCATCTTGGTCTTACCCTGATTTCTGTGGGTAGGCCTGTAGCCAGACAACCGGTCTTGGGGACGACTACAGCGTTTGGTACACACACAAGAGCCGAAGCCATTCCGCGGTTTTCTGCCTTTCTCACCCGGGCCATCGGATCTCTCTTCCGTGTACACCCTCTCTTCTTCCCCAGTCAATGTGTATTTTATTACTGTCCATCCTTGATTCCAATTATGCCCTTGATCCCCAGAGGCACTTTTTTCACATGTTAATGTCTTTGCAGTTGGCACCCATTCTGTCATTGAGGTCTACGTTTAAAGTAGTGGGGCTGTTTAAATTGCTGCTACCTTTTTAGAACTGATGGGGACCAAGAACGGGGCCATATGATAATTCAAGCATTTATTCAACTCATCAGATGCCTACATTCTGCTAGATGCTTAGGAGATAGAAATAACCAGTATGCAATCCCTTGCCTTAGGAAGGTCACAGTCTTGAGGGGGAGAGAAGGGCTCCTAATTTAAGGAGCCAGGGTGTACGGAGGATCAGAGGAGAGAAGGCGGGGAGTCGGGGACCACTTGGCGGAGAAGGTGCATCGTGAAGAGGGTGGGAATACAAAGGGGCTAGGAGGGGGTGGGGATGGTTTGGGGAATGGTATTCTGGACCACTGACTAGTCAGAGCAGATAAATGTTCAGAATCATGAAATCCTGTGAGGCGTTTGCCGGCTTCAAAGGGTTTGCTGTGGTTCCAGTGGAGGGCACTTGTGGAGACATGGGTGTAAAATGAGGTCGCAGGGATAGGCAGGGGGCAGATCTTGGGGGACCTTGAGCTCCACACAAATGAGCTTAATCTCCATCCTGAATCCAATGGCAAATCACCGAGTGGTTTTCAGCCAGGGGGGTGATGCCCTGATTTGTGTAGAGGAGCTCCGTGTTGGGAAACGGATGGGAAAGAGGATGGCGGGGTGAGGTGGGAGGAAATGGACAGAGTGACGGCTGTTGCAAGAGAGAGAAAAGTCACCCTGAATGAGGCAAAAGCCTCATTTTTATTTACTATTCCTAGACAGGGTGGGCCTGATTATGGAGGCTTGAGGTGGATCGCCCAGTGTTACAGCGGGGCCTCTAGAACCTGCAGGTGGAAGTGGCTTTGTTCTTACCTTAACCCCGTCATCTAGCGGGCAACTGCTAGTGACGTGCCACCCGATCAGTAGGCAGGCTGACTATATGAACGAACGGATGCTGGGAAAAGCTAGAGAAAGAAGAAGAGCTCACTACTTGTCGATGCCTGTTAAAGAAGAGTCCTTATCAGCCTGCAGCGGTGAATTTCCAACTTGCACTTGCCAAATTAGCTCACCAGCCAGAATTGTTTACGAGTGGATGGGGCTGTATGCCAGTGCTCAGGGGGGGAAATGTGCAGGTCTTGGTGAGAACCATCACAGGGAGGACGAAGTGGATATATCTGGGTATGAGATAGGCTATTCATCATTCAAAGTCATGAGAAAGAAATAGGTAGGTTGTGTGGTTGTGCCTGGGAATTACACAGAAGACGCATAATCCATGTTGTTGGCCGACTGACCCACCTGCAATGGACAGTGGGGACAGAGGCTGGGTGAGAGGAGGAAAGAGCTCCTCTGCCACGGTGGCAACGCCTTGGAAGGGGTGGGAGATGACTGCTGATATGGCGACGCCAGACTTACGGTTCTCTTCCCCTCCCCGCTTCCCCGAACAGGTGCAGTGCCATACTTACACAGGGTACTGCTGGTGTGTCACCCCAGATGGGAAGCCCATCAGTGGCTCTTCTGTGCAGAATAAAACTCCTGTATGTTCAGGTACCGTAGGGAGGGGCGGGAAGAAAGAAAAGAGCTGGAGAGAGACCCTTGGCTGGTCTCCTGCCTCTCGCGGGGGAACCTTTGAAAACTGGTTGAAAGACGGGCGGTGGTTAGGAGCCCTCTTCCAGGTCAGGGAGGATTCCATTCGAACACGCTGCTCTGCAGTCAGCTGGATGATGGGGTCCGTATAGGCCCATGTGTATGTATTTCTTTATTTTGAGTTTAGGTTTCTGGTTCAGTGCTCTCTTCCCAAGCATCGGCTGTGACCCCTCGAGAATGGCATATAAATTTTTAGCTTGGGTGCTCTGCTTGCTGGTGGCCTCAGGAGCACTTTATTGAGGTAGATTTTAAGACCGTATGGGAGTTCAGCATCAGAGGCTGAATGATCAACTAGTGATGTCTGTCATGGGCACACGAGAGGAGAGTGGCCCCCCCCCCCCCCCCGCCCCCGACAAATGTAATGTAGAGTAACGGAAAACTTTCATGACAGTGGCCCTCAATTCTGGCTGTCATCGGCAGTGCCTGGGGAATTAAAGAGCCCAGGTGTCGAGGCTCCTCCCCGTATAGTCTGATCCAGTAGGTCTGGAATGAGACCTGGAGTCCACATGTTCGCAAAGCTTCTCAGGTGGTTTTGGTGACTAGACAAGCTAGGGAATCATTGCTTTCTAGTGACCCATTACATAAGCCCATAGCATAATTAAGTTCCTTTCTATTTCAAACTCTATAAGCATAGAGACATTTTGCTCTCAGGTCAGCCTCGTGGGATTGTGCATTTTGGATTTATATAAGCTCCACACTTTCCACTTCCATTCAGATAGTAGGGGACTTGGGAGTCACTCCCTTAATTCACTATGTGGCTCAGTCCTCATTCAAGAAAGCCTGTCCAGCCACAAGCTGCTTCATATTTCTTTGTATCTCTGTGTATAAGGTTTTATTTATTTACTTATTTTTAATTTTTAAGTGCAAGCAAATTATACAACATTTTTCTAAAACCTATGGGAAACTCCAAGGGTTAGCAGTCCTGCCATCCTAACATTTTTCTGTTTTCGTAAAACGTATTCATTTTGCTACTGGCCCTGCTATATAAAGGGAGCGGTAAGAAAGGGCAGTGAGCATCTACATTAGGAAACCAAGATTTGCAGGCCAAAATGGAAAGTTTACTTTATTTGTGGTTTACATGGAAACTGGAAACCTTAATTGGGGTTGGTGTGGGGCAGGGCAGGAATGAGCCCTCCTTGCAAATGACCTGGAAAGTTTCATTTAAAGCAAACAAATGCACCAGAAACAGGCCATGCAGGGGAATATAATTGAATTCTCACAAAACTAGTATATGGAGAAGGGGTATGATATGGAGTGAGGAAATAGGGATTCTTTGTTTCTCCTGGTGGTGGGACCTCTCTGCATATGCCCTTATGTGGGTGAGCTGCCCCTGCCCTGCGTGTTGTGGGTTCCATGAGGAAGACAGGTGCCATAGGGTCAGGACCGCGGGATGGGTGCACGTGGCATCCTAGCACATGCAGGGCGAAGCGTTCGGCCAAACACACACACACACCACCCCCTCCTCGAGGAATAGGCCGCGTCTAGAAAATTGTTTCCATGCCTCAGACTATTTTGGCCCATTCAGTACAATTGGGCCAACAATTTTCTACTTAATGCAGATGGAAAATCACCGATTTCCTGCCCTAACCAGCAAGGGATGTGAATCATTGCATTTGCAGTAAGAGGGGTTTCTTTTCAGTTGGCCCTACTGAGTGGACATGGCTCAGAACATGGAGGTGGTGGGAACTGGGGGAGATGGGGAGCGAAGGTGAGGGGCAGTTATCGGAACGTTACTCACCAGGGAGTTATGTAGATGTGGAGTTTTATAAAAAATCTGGTCACGGCTGTTGCCTGGAAATCATGGTTCACCTCACTGGTACTGTGATATCAGTGACATTGATGTTAAACAAACCCCACTTGACATGTATGTATGTACTAGCTTTGTATATAATGTCCCTAGACGTGTATACAATGTATGTATATACATAACCAACCACACGCTCATAACAGGAGGCTTTGCCAGCTCTTTGAAAGAAACCAACAACCACAATGCATTCTGAATGTCTATGTTTTTGTTTCCCTTTCGCCCAAGGTTCAGTCACCGACAAGCCCTTGAGCCAGGGTAACTCAGGAAGGAAAGGTGAGTAGAGTTTTATGCTCTATCCAAATGTTTGCTTCTAAAGCCAGTCCAAGGAGAGTTCTAGACAAGATGGAAGGAGCCTGGGTGTAAGCTAAAAGTCCCCCACAGAAAACCTCCATTCTTATTCTGGGCTTCCTCCTAGAAGCACCGGAGGTAAGTAAGGCTCGTACCGTGGTGGGGACCAAGCTCGCAGACGTTCTGAGGGATGGGAGTGAGTACGGCATACAGAGCTGGCAGGGCCCCCGAGAATCTTGGTTCCTGGGAAGTTCAGTCCATCAGCTACCACATAGCCGGCATTACGCCAAAAAAGACGATGAAGGCAGGCATGTCCAAGTCTGCCCTGACCCTCTTGCTTTGGAAAGTCGGTTGAACATTTTTTCCCTTCCCCGACTCTCCTTAATAATTCATTGTTCCAGCCCATCTGGATTTTCTTCGCTAAGACTAGCCTGGCTGCACGGGCTTGCCACCTGGGCAGCCGTTGTCTTGGGATTCCCAATCATCCTGTCTTTAAACTTGTGTCTTGTTAAGTCCAGCAAGACAGTGAAGCCTGCATGTGCACATCCGCGTCACCCTGTTGGCCTATGGTTTTTGTGATGCACGCAGTACGCTTTCCCCAGAACAACATCAAATAGAAAAATGTAAAACACCACGACAAGTCAAGAGAGACGCCATGAAAGAGAGGATAAAACTTTATAGTTTAGTGCCCTTAATGGCACGGTGTTCCCGCCTTTTGAACAAAGGGCCTTGCATATTCATTTTGCACTGGGCCCTACAAATTATGTGGCTAACCTCAATTAAGGCATTTGTCTGAGTGCTATTTAGTGGAGCCGCCGACATGAGGAACAGGTCCCTGGGATATGCGGACCATAATTTCCAGCGTGGAGGACACTAAGCTCCACCACCGCTTACCTTCAGGACCACACACACACACACACACACACACACACAACTTGTAGCTGCATGCAGAACAAGTATCAATTTCATTGTGTGCACAGGCACTCTAGAACCTCCATTTCAGGCTCTTGGGTAAAATCCAGATGGGGGATGATTGCATCCGAATCTGGGCCTCGGGAATTTCATGTTTGTAAATGCCCACGTGGAGAGCCGGGCCTACAGAGGATCAGTGTGAGGTTCCCCGGGCTTGTCCTGCATGTGCTGTCACGAGGAGACTGAGGCAAGACCCTGGCCCCCCGCCCCGAATCCTTATTCCATGGGGGTGGGAAGAAGAGGCAAGGTCACCCTGCCCGATTGCGGGAAACGAGAATCTGGAGAGCCTGCTGCCCTCTAGTGCAGGTGCTCCGAGAAGTCACAGAAGTGGAGCATAGTGATACCACTAGAAAACGTGGACTAATGGGCCTTCCCACAAGCAGGAATGAGTAAGTGGGTAAAAAGAAGGGAGCAAATGCCTTTCTAGGTCTCTCCCAGGACAGGGAGAGGTAGCCGTGTGTGTGGGTGGTTCCCTTTTGGGTGGGAAAGTGGGAGAAGGGCGTGAATCATTCTTCCTGCAAAGACCTGAACTCCTCAACCCTGTGAATGGCACGTGCCCGTCTATAGTTTGCTGGAGTTGGAAAGGGGAGCTGCCTTTAATTTTGCTTGTTGCAGCTAAAGACTTCAGGAACATCGCCTCTATCCTGAGGCATGAGGTCGTGGTAGTAGAAAAAACGCTTGGCAATCGTGCAAAACATACCACCCAGATTTTCCCCACCAGAGAGAACTGAGGGCATGAGGCTGCATGAAGCCCCCACACTGAGAAAGGCAGACGATGGGATTTTAGTTCTTAAACCGCACAGAGAAGTACTTTCCAGGTTGATGTGGCTTTGCACCCAATGGGCAACAAAAGAAACAGACCTGTGGTCATTGTGGCCTCCTGGTGATCCGGCTGGAAGAGGGCAGGGGACCCTGATTCCTCCGGGGATGGTGCAAGGAATAGGGGTAGAGTCTGACGCCTCCTCTCAGAGACAAGTTGCTCAGTTTCCAGCATTTTGTTCCCCTACTCCAGATGGGTTCCTGCCTCCCAGATGGCTCTGCGGAGGCTTCCTCTGTGGTGCAGAAGCCCAGTGGGGGACGCTAGGACTCGCTCGTCTCTGGAGACTTGACTTTTGCCCATAGCCTCTCCTTCCTTCTACTTTGGAGGACCTACATAGGTGCTAACCCTCTCCTCTTTGTCTGTTGTAGGCCGTGCAGAGAAAAGCAGGCTCAGGCCACCTGTAGGAAGGGCCACCTGAAGCCACACCTGTCCAGGAAGCTGGGGTTTGAAGGGGGACAGGGTGCGAGAGGGCATTTGTAATATCCTGTGTCGGCCGCTGAGGTCCCTCTCTCGGCTGCCACTTAAGAATGGAATGTGCTCCGAAGGGCAGCAGGTGGGAAGACACAAAGGCCCCTTGTCTGAGCTGGTGCCCACACGTGGGGTCTCCTAGACGGCATCTCCCGGGAGCTGGAGCTCACAGCCCTGAGACCTGCTGCAGAGATGCGAGGCCTGGGCCCTTGTGCAGAGTGAGGGGTACAAGCCAGGCCCCGGGTCTGGGTGTGAGAGTGGTAGGGGGTGGCAGCGGGGAGCGGGGGTTGAGGGGAGAGGCGCAGGCCCAACCTTTCCTCTCCCGCCCTCTTGCCTTTTGGAGCCCGCTCTGCCGACAGGGCTCGGAGGGATCGGTTCCCTCTGCCTGGAAGGAATGAAAAGGTGTATTGTGCGAAGAAGGAAGGTCTGGTTGCCAGCCAGGAATTAGTCCTGCGGAGGAGAGGAGGAGAAGGCCGAGAAGAGGAGGCTGGGGGAGGAGGCTCAGAGAGATAACAGGAGGTAGGGAGGAGGGAGAGAGGCCGGGCGGTAGCGGGTCACAGGCGGCTGGCCCAGACAGGAGGCCTGGGTTGCGGCTCCTGGGTCCACAGGTGTGAGGCCCGAGGGGAGAAGTGGGGGAAGGAGGGAGGGAGGCGCTGTTATCTTACCCAGATGCACGTGCTCTGGGAGGGGAGGAGGGTCAGAACTTCAGACTATTTACTTAATCCCTTGGAATGTCCTTTCCTCGCTCTGTTCTTTGGGCCCCTTGTGTTTCACGGACCCCTTTATGGGCACATGTGTGGTAATTAACACGTGCAGTGTAGGTCCTGGGCCATGTGTTTGAGTTTCAAATATCCATTGATCTGGGGCACTCCCATCTTGGCTCCCCTCCCCTTCTTCTCCTTTGGTCCTTGCCCTTGAAGAGTGATGCGGTGGGGGGGGGGGGGGGCGGGGGGGAGCGGGGGGGGCACACGTGCCTCCACATGTGTGTTATTGGTGCTTCAGAGGACTATCAGAAGAGAGGAAGAAGGCCGCCCTTGAGCTCTGACAATCTGCTGCTAAAACAGTTGGAGGCCGCAGAAGCTGAGGTAGAGATAAATTTTTGGTTTCAACCGAAGCAGGTCGAAGGACAGCTGGGCAGAGGCTGGGAGGCAAAATGCGTTTAGAGATCATGAATTTACCCAGAGCAGATTTTCCCGGCCAACCAAGGCTTGCAGATTTTCCCGAGGTGCCTCTTTCTGGGGTCTTGATGCTAATGAAAGTGGACGATTTGGGGAGCTTCCAAGATTGCTGAATACGGAGTCAGGGACTGGTCCTGGGCTTGATTGCTTGTGAGGTGCAGGAGGGGAGTTCTCAGCCTCTAGGGGGTGAGGGCCGGAGAGCATTTGTAAAATTCTTTCTGCCAGTTCTCTGGGAGCTTTCTTCTGTGCACCCAGGACCACGGAGATCCCGGGCTGGTGCTTCTGTGCACAGTGAGTGAAAGTTGAGGGCTGTCAGGAGTTTTCTGCAGTTTGAGTATTTCCTACTTGTAAGAGGTCTAGGATTTAGCTGTTTAAGGAAAGTGAGAGAAAAATGAAAACATTAGCAGGCTCTGCCTACATTTTCTGCACAGACTTCTGTACTTGTCAAGCCAGTGTTGGAGAGGGGCAGTACTCCCAAAACCCAACCCACCTTTAATTTGTGGAGACTTGTTATCCCCCCTGAGCTGCCCCATACTGTGTGCTCTCAGTAAACAGTGAGTCACAGTTATTTGTCGTGGGTCCCTCTCTGCATCTCAGTGTTTAGAATCTTTCACGGAGCCTGGTCTACAGGTTGGTGCTGGCTCAGAGGACCTATCACTGAGGTGGTGGATGAAGCAGAGCTCTCATTCAGGGCTGAGGGATGTGCTTAGGGCAGAGTCTGGCAGTCCCCAGACAAAGGGGACTGTGTGGCCTCCAGCCTCGGCCCTCCTGTGGTCGGCACACCTAAAGGAGGTTCACCTCGCCGCCCTGAGCCTAGCTGAGGTGTGCGAGGCTGGCTGTCTCAGAACATTCCACAAGTGGAACATCGTTCCTGCTCAGATGACTTTAACCTCTTCCCAGCTACCTCTCTTTTCTCTTCCCCCAGCACTTAAGGAGAGGCTGGGTCAGTAGTCGACCTGTCGGCATTGTCATCAGATGGCAAAAGTCTGACTACCCACCGTCTGGGGCTGGATTTGATTGGAGACGGGCAGCTGCTGACCTCTAGGGGTCGGGCCTCTGCTCACATCAGATTTCCCCAGGGAGAAGCATTCTCTCTGATACGGTGCCTGCTGAAACAGAACTGTGCCTCGGCAGCTCCAGGCCTGCGAGAGGCAGTGTTTTGCTCTCTGCATGTGTGTTGGCCGCTGTTTGCTGGTGTCCCGAGCCGCCCTGACCAAGCCTGGCACCTCCGTGTACCGGCTTTGTGGGGTTCGGTTGCAGAGGGGTGTGCCTGGGTGTGTTTGAGTGCTCATGTGTGTGCTGTATCTCTTTCCTGCCCTACCCCCCAGTTGGCTCATGGCACTCAATCCCGGCCCTCCGTCTCAGTCCCTATTCTGGGGTCTCTGAAAGAAAGCTATGTGTGGAGGCTGCTAAACAAAGAGTTTGAATCCCTGCCATATCCCCACTTCTGAGGACCGGAGAGGAAATGGGGTTTAGGCATCTGGAAAAGCCTCCTAGTCATAGATCCTTATGAGTCCCTGGTGTTACTAGTAACCTTCGGGGTATCT